AGAGTCTGCAGGCAGGCTTCCTGGTTTTCTGGCAAGCAAGGCCTGTGGGACAGCAGAGGGTTCCTACCTGTATTGGGGGCTGAGATAAAGCAACAAGTAGGGAGAGTGAGGTTAGGAGGGGATGGTATGCAGGATCCACAGGAGATGTGGGCAGTGGGGAAGGAAGGCTGAATGTGGTGTTCTAAGGAAGGAACTGGAGGGATTGGTTTGTAGATAAGGAGGGAGTAGTGAAGGCCTTCAGTTATCTTACCTGTTTCTCTGTCCTGCTCAGCTGGTGTGTTCCCTGTGAGTGCCTACTGACATTGGAGACTGTGATGTTGAGATGAGTTTGGGGAAGGAAGGTAGGAAGAGAAGGGCTTAGTGATCTATTGCGGATGGGGTCAGAGAGGAAAGGGAGATCCTAACAGTTCTCCTGCTATAGAGCTGGGAATGAGACTGGAGTACTGGATATCAGGAGCAGGAGAGGTTTGGGTTTGCCTTCAGACTACTTTTTGCAGTGGCAGGAGCCCTGGGGTTAGCAGAGTGTGGCTTTTGGGTTGGGGGCTGGAACAAAGCAGTGAGTGAGGAGATGGCGATTAGAAGGGGAAATCTGTGGTGTCTACGGGAGATGGGAGGGAGTGGGAAAAGGCTGACAGGTGTTCTGCTGAAGAACTGGGAATGAGGTTAGGGGTTTGGATCTGGGGGAACACAGAGAAAGAGAAGATCTGCAGGCAGCCTACCTGGTTTTTCTTTTAAGTAACATTTAAGTTTTAAGTAATATTAAAACTTAAGATTTTAAGTAATATTAAAAATAAAATTTAGAAAACTTAAATTCATAATTTACCACTACTCAAATATTTGTATATATGCATATGCACATTTTTCAAATTAAGAAACATTTTCAAAGATTTTTAGCAAATTATTGGGAAAGGAGGACATATAAGATTTTATTTTAATTATTTATTTGCATTGTAGCAAATATCAGTAAAAATATTTGCTTCATAACAAACTTTTATTGCCTCCCCATTTCTGTGGTCCAGATTTGAGGATGACTTAGCTACTGTCTCTGCATCAGTGTGGTGCTCTCAGAGACTGCCGTGGCTGTCAGTCATCAGGAGCCTTTGCTAAGCATTAGGCCCTATGTTCCACATGTCACACTCACAAGGCTTTGACAAGAGCTCTCAGTTCCTTATCATATAAGCCTCTATGTAGATTGCCTGATGACAGCTCATTTGCTCTAGTTAGTGATCAGAGAGACAGTGGGGGCCCAGAATCTGTCTGTGATCTACTCACACACAATTGTTTCTGGCATGGCAGTTCTTCATGTTCTGAGTCCAGCTCACACATGAAGAGGGAAATTATGTTATCTTTGTTGAAGGAAGTTGCTTTGGAGGACTTCAGTGGCTTCTTAACACACACACAGCATCATTTGAATCAAGAGTATTTTATTTCTGATATACTTCTTTCATACTTTTCAGGTTTTTGCCTATCTATATCCATATTACTTTAATCCTGTTTAGATGCTCATGATAAATGTATATCATAGTGAAGCCTGGTATCCCTTAAGCCAAATATATATATATAGTGACAAAAGAGTGGTCAGGGATCTCCTTTTAGTCCCCATTCTGTCTCTGTGTTAGTATTACTGAAGAAATAACTTAGAAGAAGGATTTCTTTAGTTTTGGTGACTTGATTTCACGGTCAACTAGTCTCATCACTTTAAGCCTGTGAGAGGCGGAGCATTATGTGAAGGAGTGAGAGCTAAAGCAAAGCTGCTTGCCTCCTTCCCACCAGGAAACATAGCTATAAAAGAATGGCCAAGGTCCCACTACCCCTTCAAATGCAGAGCCCCAATGATCTGACTCATTTCAACCAAGCTAGCAACTTCTGAACTTTACCCCCTCTCCCAATAGCTCCAG